TATATCCTCTAAAGCAAGTTTCATCTCAGATGGAAGTGATGTACAATGGCAGGGTAGATCAGGTTCGTCATGCTGGGAACCAAACAGCACAAACAAGAGTCTAACATTTTTATGGACCCGAATATTTGGTGAATGCGTAGAGTAACTTTCAGCAATTGCCTGGAGCACTCCTTGTATTTGCTCCTCCATAGCAATGCATTCTCGATTTAGACAACAAAGGAAGATCGCGTTCCTGCACAGTATCAACCCAACTGCATCTGTGTGAGTCAAAGTCAAGGTAAAGTGACACCTGATTTTGATTAACCCCACCAATATCTTCAAGAGAATTACGCAAATATGGAGTTGTGCCAAACCATAGTGTACCGGCAAAAGGAAATTCTATTACAGCAAATCTCACACTCGCATTCGACAACACAATTCCTCGGCTAGTTAAAACCAGAAGATCTGATGTATCCCTTTGACGAGATTTGTCAAACAACTGAGCAACAGTAGTATCTCGTGATTTTTCTTCCTCCCTAGTATTCGATCCGGTTGTATCATCAAAGACCTCACTATGTACCTTGGTTTAGAAGCTGCCATTTGCGCATAAGCTATCATTGTACACCTTGGATACTGTAGTAACAGAGTTGTCTCCCTCATGGACAATAGCATTAAGATCATGAATGCTTGAGCTCACCGCGGCGTGTGAAATTTCGTCGAACACCTGATCATCAATAGTGACAAAAGGTTCCTGTACGAATTCCACTACTTCTACTGATTTTGCATTCCCAATTTGAGGTGCTTCTATATCTTCAGGATTCAATCTCAGTATTACTGCTAGTTATCAATGTCAAGGAATCTATTGTTTCAAACTACACTGGCAATTTATCGAACATGTGGTCCGCCTTCGAGTTTACATTTCCATAGGCCGATTCAAATGCTGATGAATTCGGAAGAAGGCTTGGACGAGGAAAAGGAGACACTAGAGCTGATCGTGACACTATAGGGATATGATTGACATTATTAAAACGAACCTTTGAGGAATAAGCTAGACTCCCTACTGGATGTGTGGTGGGTTGTTGAAAATGCTGAGCAAATTTTGCCTTGAAATGTTTCCAATCGAAAAATTGATCGTTTTGAAACAACCGATTGAACCAATGAAGAGCTTCACCACCAAGGTAAAGGGAAGGAAGAGGTAACCAATCCTTCTCGGTGAAGCCAAGGTAAGTGAAGTATCGCTCACCCCGAAAAAGCCAGCTCTCTGGGTTGCCGCTGCCGCTGAATCGATCCAGTACCTCCATGGGAGTCCGATGGATGAAAGCACCAATGTAACAACCCAGATAATATACCAAACAACTGATTGTATTAATTCTACAATAATTGAAATTACAAAGCAAAGGCTAATGAACGTAAGAACACTGTTACTGAAGATCTAAGAATAAAGAGGTGAGAAATAGACTGATATAGAATTAGGGATGGGAAGTATAGAAGATCTCAAAGATGAGAAAACAGAGATAACACTTGACAACTTTTCTTCCCCCAACGCACTATGCCTTCTATTGTATTTATAATTAATTCTCTCACAATGCACTTTCACGCAGTGAGCATCTGGCCTTGCTCAAAATGGGTCCCACACATAATTTTCCAAATTTTCAAATATGTGTTCCACCAAGTCACTCACTAAGTTCACAACATATGGTGCATGCATTAGAGAAAGGTTAAGTCCAATTTAACATGCAGGGTTGTTTCTGAGAAACAAGTCCATTATCCTTCAAGAAATGGATGCTGTACTGTACCCGATCACTGATGTACTTAATGAAAGCACCGATTCTAACAAGCATGTTGTTACTTGTTTCCCCTCTTTCTTTATGCTACAATAAGGAGATTAACACATTTCTATGATTTCAAGCTTTCCCTATTCTTTAAATGAGCGAATCTTGAAATTTAATTTAAACTTGTTTGATATGAACCCCACAACAGTGGTGAAATGTTTTAGTGAATATTGAATTGTTGTTCCATGCATATATTTGCAGAGTCCAAACTGTTGATGATGTCCGTGAATATGTAAATAAGGAATTGGTGCTTCGCAAGATTTTAACAAAATATGATATTTACGGTGGGAATGGCTTACGTGTATTGGAGGAATCCTTTGTGGGACTCAATCCTTATATTGCATTACCTGCAACACTAACTCTAAATAGTCAGATTGGAGAAGTATGGGTGATGGAACTTGTGGAAAATAAGAGGGGAAGATTTCTTAGAAAGGACTGGAAGAAGTATGCAGCTCGCCACAGATTGAAAGTTGGGGATACCATCATAATTCAAAGGACACTAGTAATGAAGCAAGTATTGGAAGAAAGCAGCAGCAGTGCTGTGAAAAAGACAGAAGAATTAGCCAAAATGGAGGTCCTTCGTACTAAGTATGATATCATAATAGAGTAAGAGAGCAGAGAAATTAAATAAGCAAATTAAAGGATTCCTGAACGTGCTACTAGTCTTCTACCTGCACAGTTTTGTTTTCTATAGCAGCAGCCAGCAAGTAATAATACCTTCATTCATTAGTAATACAGTTGGGTCATTCATAAACAAAATAGGTAGGTTGGTTTTATGCATATAATTGTAGTATGGTAGATTTCAGTACCTTAATATTCCATACTCAGACAAAATATTTTGGGATAATAGTGTTAGCATGCTACATTAGTAGTAGTAATAGTATAGACTTGAGTTGATAGTTCCTAACTTCCTATTATAATGCCACATTTTCTCTCTCGGTCTCTTATGTCATTATTGCGAGTAGAGGTAGCTTTCATGTTCTGTAAAGAAGTAGAGGATTTTATTGGGGCGTACACATACTTGGTAGACTAGTTGTGGCAGGCTTTTTCTTTTCCTTTACAAACTTATGCTAATATTTCAATTTAGTCTTTTGGGTAACAGAACGGATCAACTTTTGCAGACTTGAGCTTCATTTGGAGGTTCAATTTTTAATAAAGGCCACTACAATTGGGCCTGGGAAAGATTGAGTCACTATTAAAATGGGCTCTTTCACTTTAAAAATGTGAAAATACCACGAGCTAACTAGTTTTGGACCGGTAATTGAAAAATAGCCAGCGTTTGTAAAGTCATTGAAAAATAGCCACTATTTTGCTACAACACGGAAAGTTCCAGCATAATATATGGAGATTGGTGCATCTGTGTATGAACTTCCAGCATATTATACTGGAACTCCAACACACGGAAAGTTCTAGCATAATATAATGAAGATTGGAGCATCTATGTATGAACTTCCAGCATATTATGCTGGAACTCCAATATATTATGCTAGAAGCTCACATGTAAAAAATTCGAACTCAAGTATATTATGCTGGAATATTTTTCGAATTTCGAACAGTGCTTTGGTTCAGATTTATATTTACATGATAAGTGGCTAAACTTCGATTACTTTTGAAATTGTAAGTATTTTTCAATTACCACTTGTAAATCTAGCTATTTTTGAATTTCATACCTTCAAAATGCAATTGGATGACTTTTTGGAAATTTTCAGAAGTGCAAGTAAATTTTAATTAAAGATTCGAGCAATTATAATTGATTTTAACAGACTTAACAGTTATCAATTGATATTTTGATTTTTTATGTTATGAACAAACATGGTACCTGAATTTATGGATAACGAATAGAGCATAGTGTTTTAACTTAAAAATGTTGTTGCACAAAAAAAAAAAAAAAAACAGCAAGAATCAAAACACGGTTGCAATTACTTGTCCCCTTGTAACATTCTTGATTATTTTGATCACCTTACCAAAAGTAGAAAACTTCTATGAATTCTGATTTTATCTTCAACTCCAAATAAAAAAAAATTCTAACTTCAAGTCTAATTTTGTCCAAATGAAACCTTATTGTTCTAGTTATTGCTCCCAACTTCAAAACACAGAGAAATTGCAAAGGAGCTAATTCAAATTTAACATGCATATATACACACACACATTGACATACATAGGCACTTCCTTTGATTCTATCTATGAGATAAAGGTTTTTGCGAATACAATGGCCTAATTGCATAATCAGTAACTATTTGTAAAGATAAGGTGTAATGGCCTAATTGTCAAATATCCATTACAAATTTACAGTATTCTTTACAAACTCTTGTCAACTGGTGTGAACAATTTGAACTTCTGTTTCTTCCTTTTATTTTCACACAAAAAGTCTTGAGCTTCCTGGTGAAAGCCCCAAAAAAAGATTCAAGATTTGAAGTTTATAGGTTCCTATAGTGACCTCGAATTAAGATATGATAAAAATTGAATTCATGGTCAATAATGTATAGACATATATATACAGGGTCTGCGTAAAAGCTATAAAACTCTTGTGAGCCCGTTGGTTGTGCTCTAAATCCGCCTCTGAATCCCCTCTCCCCGCCCCGACTTGTAACTGTTGTGAGATAGCATTAAAATCATAGAGCTTTGAGAGAGAACTGGAATCTACCTTCTTGGAAATCCATATACAGTAGTAATTTTTACTTATCTCCCAAAAGTGAAAAGTGCTGATGCAGTGAGAAAGCAAAAGTAATACTAGTACAATACAAGCTAGCAGCAGAGTGAAACTTTTCCCTTCCTCATATAGACAGATATGACCACAAAAATAGTGTCATCATCTGGTGATATTAAGAATCTCATTTTATGCCAAAGGTTAGGCAAAAGGGGAACATATCAATCCATCAACCAACAAGCATGCCAAGAATCACTAGAGAACATTCAACAGAAACAACTCATAAAGAAATTAGAAGCTTTATCAACATTCACCCCTTCTCCCCTACCTGGAATTTTTCACTTTTTTCCCCCAACAATATCAGAAATATCATGGATAATTAGATAGGATTTGATTAATAATTGTTATACAACAAAAAGTATTTACTTGTTAAGTAGTCTAATTTCGTGGAAAACAAATATTTAATACTACTACAAACATCTCTCTTTGAAGCTAATTTAATTACTCCTTAGATAAGCATAATTAATTTGACTATGCTAAAATCATTCTCCACAATGGACCTTGTTTTTCTTGCTGACATGATGTAGCCATCCAAACCCTTTAATTGCTTTAGAAATCTTAACAAGATTAGGCCTTCCCATACCTAAATTCATCTTTCCAGCTGAGAACTTTAGAGCCTGTAAGCAACACAACTGCCCATTCATTTCTTCTTCCTCTTCTTCATCTTTTTTGTAGCTCTTCAATTCTCCTGATTTCTTCTTCTTGTTAACATTATCCCTTTTGACCTTGCTCTTTGCTGAGTCTAATTCATAAGTTTCCCACAACAAATCCATCCCTTCACCACCACTACTATCACTAGCATTGTGCCTTTCCTCATAAAGTTTGCATGCCAATGTCCTTGTCCACTCTTTTTCTTTCCTCATAGATCCATAGCTCCCCAAATTCTGCTCCATTATTTTTGACTTGTTGTAATCAAGATTTTCTCCAAGTCTCCAAGAATGTGACTTTTTCACTTTATCAACATGAGCAGCAGCCTCCTTGGATCCATTTCCCATCATCATTTCTTCCTTTTGTTTTTCAACAACTTTATCGGCCTTTGTGCCCAATGCCTCAATTTTCTTCCTTTCCACATTATCACTATTCCAAGTCTTGCTTTCGAACTCATCTATTTCTTTGAAGAAATCTTCCAATGTCTTCTCCTCCATTTCACCTGAATTTTCTGTGGCAGTGGCAGAGTCTTTTTCTTGAACTGAAGAATCAAGAACTGATTTTTCACTAACTTCAGCTGATGTATAGTCCAAGAATTCAATTGGGTTTTCTTGAAACACGATTTTGTAAACTTCAAAATCCTCCAGACGACAGAGCTCGTCAGTTTTGACATCACCCTGTGTCTTTAACATTTCCACTACAGCATGATAAACAGAGAGCAGAATACTAACCTTTTCTGACTCAGAATTTTCTGTACAAGATTTGAATTTTTCATGGCTGATGAATTTAGCTGGGGAGAGGGTGGTGAGAAGGGCGAGGAGCAAAAGGGAAGTGGTGATGAAGAGAGGGGAGAGAAAAGAGAAGAGTTTAAGGAGGTAAGGAGAGAAGAAAATGAAGTAAGAGAAGTAAAGAGGGTGAGAGAGAATGAAGTAACAGAAGAGAGTTAAGTCGGAGATGAGGAGACCAAAAAATTTAATACAAGTGTTTGATAAGCACAGTTCAGACATTTTTGTAGATGAGTGGAGAATTGAAAAATGGAAGATGGAGAAGAAATGGGGAAGAATGTAGACTGTTGTTTCTATTTTAGTTTAAGCAAAACAGGAAGAAGAAAAGTTGTCGGATTGTGAATTGTGAATGCGGCGTTGATATAGGGAATTAGAATGCTCTCTCTCTATTTGGGTTTGGCCGTGTGGCGAGGGCTGTGGCCTATGAGCGTTGATGAAGAAATAGAGAGAGTAAAAGTCACTAGTAACTAATAATGGAAGACACAGACATTTGCTTTTCTCTTTATATGATTAACAAACATGTCATTAATTTGTACGAATTATATTAAAGAATTCAACCCAAAATCATATTACAACGAGCGAAAGACTTTAATACTATAATTTACGAGTGCGATATAATACAGTGTGAAATAGTATAAGCATCTAATTCAGATGTTGATACTATAGTGATTCAAAATATTTATAAGCTCCTTTGGTTGCCGTTGAATATTCAATGTGTGACATTACACCATTCAATGATTCGAACTTGTAACAATGAGATTCTAATTACATAATTCAATAATGTAACAATGAGATTCTAATTCTGATTTCTCAGCCATCATATCGGGGACAAACTTGCTCTTGTTTTATTTTTACAAAAGATATTGAAATACGCAAGTAAAAGTATTCCAAGTACTCTATTGGTAATATTTCACACCAGTAAAACATCAATTAACTTTACTTATTAGCTAGCATTTAAGAAATTAATAAGAGCTATGAATTTGTTCCATTAAAAAAATAAAGAAATGATGCATGTATTCTGCAATATCCGCACGTTACAATTCTAATTATGACATAGCAAATAGAGACAAAATTGACTAATCTACAATGTAGTGTGATAATATGAAACGAAATACAGTGTGGAATAAATGCACGCTTGTTCTTACGAACAATAAAGTTTCTGATTGTCTCTAACTTTTTACTTCTACTTTTACTTCTGACACAAAAAAGAAAGAAAATAATAAAGGAGGGAACGACAGAAAAGCTTTCTTTAAAGGCCAAATACAAATACAGCCCATTCAACTTAGCCCAATTTTTTATTTTGGCACTCTATCTCAACCTTATTCCATTTTGGCACTCCAATTCTATTTTTTATGTTTCACTTTCACACAAAAGCTGAAACCAGTGCAAAAAATATAGCGCGTGTGTATACACAAATCTGAGGTGTAATAAATATATTAAATGTTGCCACCTAGTTTTTCATCCATGTCAAACGGGTCATTACTAAAATACCCGAACCCGACCGTATTTTTTTCATCCACTGTTGCCCCGTCTCCATTCTCAAAGTTCCAAAGCTTTCATTTGCCGATTTCATATCTGGCCCATCCATAAAATTTCAAACTTTTGCAATTTTATTGTTCGTTTATTAATTCTTTTTTTTTTTTTGTGATTTATTTCATCTAAGCTTGAAGTTTGAAGTGATTTCATGTCTCAAAGAAAATTATTTTTTCATAACGGAATGGATGTTTGTTCTTGTAGATTTCAAGTTGAACTCAAAGTATCACGGACACCAAGAAATCTAGGTTGTCGCTTTTATGGGTATAAATTTGACAAAGTAAGTGAACCGTTTTCGGATTTCATTTTCAGTGTTGTCATTTCCTTGTGTAAATAAGAAGCAGACTTAATTTTACCCAAATACGATCGGGTTCGGGTATTTTAGTATTGACCCATTTGATATGGATGAAAAAACTAGGTGGCACATTCAACTGATATTTATTACACCTCAGATTTGTGTATACACACACGCTATATTTTTGCACTAGTTTCAGCTTTTGTGTTAAAGTGAAACATAAGAGTTAGAGTTGGAGGGCCAAAATGGAACAAGATTGAGATAGAGTGCCAAAATGAAAAATAAGACCAAGTTGAATGGGCTGTATATGTATTTGGCCTTCTTTAAACGAAAGCGTTGGCTACTCAATAAGTCATCTACTCATCTCCAAAGTAGTACTCTCTCCCGTCAACAATAAATGACCATTTTACATTTGGCACATCGATTAAGAAAATACGAACTTCTAGAAAGAAAAAAAATGTATTTACTAAAGTAATCTTGATTAATTGTTATCTTGATACATTATAATATGTAAATAAGGGCAAATTTTAAAAAAATAAAATTAATTCCTTCTTAATTATATAAATGAACACTTATTTTGGATCAAAATAAAAAGATAAAATGAATACTTATTGTGAACCCGAGAGAGTAATAGTCGTAAAAGAAAAAGAAGAAGGAGGAGCAAAAAGGGAGCATGTAAACGCTCACTCAAATAACTACTCTCTTTGAAGTTATGAGTTCTCAGTATGAGAGTCAAATCATATAATTTTTGGTTTCTCATACCGGTTCAATTTTTTGTATATTTTAAGTATTATACAAAATATACTATAACTATGATAAGTATAACTAAAACTCTAAAAGTTCTTTGAAAATACGTTTAAACAATGAGTCCATTACTTAAAAGGTCATTCAACTATTTGAAATTATCTAATAAAACCATCACTCTTTCGTTTGTAACAGAAAAATCATTTAACTATGCCTTTAGCACTCAGAAGGTCACTCAACCAGTTTCTCAAACTTTTGATTGTCAAATACCTATTTTATCCTCTAATTATCAACTTTTATCTTCTTCTTTTTTACTTTTTTAATATTTGTTTACCCTTAACACTGGATAACAATTAAACTTATAATGTGATTTTAAGGACACGTGATTTCACCTAATACCAATTGATAAATGTAAAGAGTAATAATAGAAATTAACAATAATATAAAGCAAACCAGTGTTTGAACGGAATTCAGCCCTGGAACTTGAATACCCTCGAACTAATTTGTCCCAGAGCGGTTAAAATATAGCAAGCTGATAAACAATAATATGAACTAAAGAAAAAGGCGTTATATTGCTTTGATATCTCAGAGTGTAAGGTCCTTTACAGAACGATTAAGACCCTCTTTATATAGTTGAGGAATCCTACCTATGGTACAATTCTAATTACGGAAGTAAATCCTATGATTAGCCTAAATAATTGCCTTTGATATCCGTTCCGAGATTTTTTCCATGATCTTCGACCAGTCACGGATATCTCATTTTTCTGTTATTGCGTTTTACTCGAAGTCTGCCCTGTTTAGTCTCGATTGCTGGCCTTGATCTCGACAGGCACCTTCTCGAACTCGGTACCTTATCTTCGTCACTTTGATTCGTTTCATTACGAGGCTGACCCTCGATGCATCTCCCTGGTCTCGATCGAATAGTAAAATCGGGTAGGCCCAGTTTTAACCGTATACAAATAGTCCCCTCATTTCTTGGAATATAATGAGAAGAAACGAATTGAGCGTTCGACTTTATACTCCGACATGTCATGACGTCGTCCTCATGACGTAAGCAGCGGAAGTGATTGAAACGTCCCGTCGGTACAGTTCCCAATGTCATTAATGAGCGTCAGTTGGTGGTCGGCCACCAGTGCTTGAACCGTCGCCGTGAATCCCTTAAATAGGCCCCTTGTCTCGTTGATTCAATCTTAACTTTCACTTCCTTCTAATCCCTTAAGCTTTTTACATCTATTAAGTTTTTCCGTTCTGCATAATCTCTAGGTTTCGTTATCAAAACACCAAGCCTTATTCTCTTCTTCTTTCTTTAAACTTATACAAAAATGGCAAAAACGTCAAAAACTGTGCCTCAAAAGTAAAAAGCTTCTTCATCGCGGCTGGCCAGCGATAAAACACCGGTGGAGCCATGCCCTAAGGAGTGTATTCCCGGGGGGTGCGAACTTACTTCCGACTTCAAAGTCGAGAAAACTTCGTCGATCCCTGGTCGATGCGAGCCAATATCGAGATACATGTGCTCGATAACTAAAGATGACCTTGAGCAGGTGAAGAAAGACTGCCATTGGGAAGATAAAGAGGTGGTGATTTCGGCCCCCGAAGAAGACATCACCACCCATGTGAAAGGGTTTCTAAGTGTTTACACTTACCCTTTCACGCTGGGCCATGTCGATCCCGTCATCATTGATTTTTGCAGTCAATATCAAATAATCCTAGGTCAAATCCATCCCTCTTTGGCAGATTGTCATTCTGCTCCAATTCTTCTCGAGCAAAGTCGAAGGGATGTCTTTCACCTTCGACTATCTCATCAGGTTGTATAGCCCCCATCTCTATCGAGGCGGGCTGATAAGGCTTCAGCGTCGGGCTACCAAGGTGTTGTTCTCGAGCATAGATGAGGACAAGGATCGAGGATGGATGGGCCTGTTCGTTCGAGTGAAGACTTCCGGCCTAATCTCGGCCGAGAAGATGCCATTTCCCGAGGAATGGAAAATGAAGTGTAAGTACAATCTCACCTACAGCTTCCATTTATTGTTTTGTTTCCTTTGCTTTTTCTCATCGACATCCCTTCCTATAATGTAGCGGTCTCTTGGATGCCCAGTGCAATTCCTAACCTCGAGAGCTGGGTTCGGGACCTAGCTTCGACCTCTTCGTACGCTGAGCGCTCATGGCGTGATTTGGCAAGGGGCCGATGGGAGGCCAAAAATCATGGTAAGCCCCTTTTTACGTATTTGATGATTTTCGCTGGAATGTTTCTTTTCATACTCATTTGATTTCCTTTCGTACAGGCCTCGGAGAAAAAATTGTCATGAGGCCCCCATCCAGGGATGAAGAAAACACTCCC